TGCGGCGCAAGTGCCTCGAGGCGCTGCCAGCCGCCCTCCGCATGGACGGTGAGTGGGTCTGGGGGGGGTGCTGGAGCCGGGGGGTGCTGGACCTGGGGGACGCTGGAGCTGGGGGAGGGGGTGCAGGAGCTGGCTGCCCTGGGCAAGCAGGCAGCTTTAAGTCCCGGGTTCATCGCACGTGGCAAAACAGGGGGGAAAGAAGCATCCAAGCCTGCGTTGAGCCGCGGGGGTCACAGCATTGCCCCGGCCGAGCCCTCCCCAGTGGGTTATTCAAAGGGGCAGCAGGTAACCCATCATCTCCTCCCTAAACTACTGGCCCAAACTGGGCTCCTTCTCCTATGGGATGGCCCTAAGAGAAGCAACCCTACAATAACAAGCCAGGCTCTGCGTCCTGGGGCACCCACAGCCCTGCGACAGCAAACTCACCCTGGACTTGCAAATAAACTGCAGCTATAGCTCAGTGTTTAGCCCCAAAATGAAAGAAAAGGAAGTTGGTAGGGTCTCCCATACGGGGTTGGGTGTGGGGATGGGGTCTTTGTAAGGTTCAAGATGGGTAAAAATAGTTTTTTAGAGATGGGGTGCGTGGGACAAGTTGAGTGGGAGAAGTGAGATTTTTTTTTCCGGGGTTTCTCGGTGCACGGTGAGACCCGGCTGGTTTCACGCCCGAAAGTCACCCCTCGGCCTCTCTGCCCTTCAGATGACTACAAGGAGTTCGGTGTCAACTGTGAGAAGATGGCATCGGAGATCGAAGACCATATCCTTTGGGGGGGACTGGGGGTCCCCAGGCTCCGTCTGCTGGGGGGACACACACATGTGGGCTCAGGACCGACAGCGGGGGACAAGGACAGAGGGTGGCGGGGACAAGGACAGAGGGTGGCGGGGACAAGGACAGCAGGTGATGGGCTCTGCTGTCCCCGTTGCCTGCAGAGGGAGCCCAGACCCTGGTTAGAGGCTGATGCTGATGCTGAGCAGAGCATCCCCTGGGCACCTGCCTTAGTCCGGGGGTCTGTGCGTCCCCCCGAACCCCTCTGCTCAGGGACCTGCCTTCGTCCCTGGGGAAATAAAACCCAAACCCAGCCGAGGCCTCTTCTTTGAGCCTGCCGTGGGTGCCGGTGTCTCTTGCCAACTCTGGTCCATCGCAGTGCCCAGGCTGTGCCACGCTGGCAGGGATGGAGCCACCTCCATTCACACCCAACTCTGGTGTCTTTGGGGGTCTCCTGGCAGCCCCCCGAGACTGAGACCAGCCCCAAGGTGGTTTCCCCTCCTGGGTACGATTTTTGGTGCATCCCAAACTCTCTGCCCGCGCGTGCCTGGGGCCTCACAGGACCCCGCAGCTGCCACCTCAGCCCGTCTGCCTGCATCCGTGCAGGCAGCCGG